CTGTACCTGATGGACACGGCCTGTACCTGATGGACAGCGAGCTCCGCCTGTCCTGCGCCTGGTCGCCCACGAAGATTTCCTCCGAGCCCTTGGGCGCCAGATTCTGGCCCTTGGCGCGGCCGATCACATTGGGATAGACAGACTGCGGCTCCCGGATCCCAGCCAGGCCGGCCTTGATCACCCCCGAGCCGTTGTCGATCACCACGGGGAGCTGGTCGCGGTTCATGCTGCCTCCCCGGCCCGGAGCGCTGAGTGCGTGGGCGCCCCGGCCCCGGGTTACAAGGCGACAGCGCGGCCACCGTTACCGGGGCCTCAGTGGCGCATGGGCTGCGCCTGGGACGTCACAGAGGCTGCAGACCCACCCACCTCCCTGCAGGACCCCCTCCTCTGCTTCCTGCCTCTGAGGGCCTCCCTAAGAAATCCAGCAACATCCCTATGAAGAAAACCCCACAGTGGCTGCAGAGAGTAGAAATCTAACCCCTCAGGAGTGCATTTGTCCAAGACCTCAAAGAGCCATAAATACAAGTCTTATTTTTCAAAGTCTTGAATTCTGATTAAAAAGTGTCAGATCTAGGCCCACAGGAAGCTCAGAAATGTGATCTTGAAACTAACTGTTGTTGTCCAAAGGCTTTGAATTCTGGTTAGTAAGAGTCAGGTCTAAGCTTACGGGAATTTGGGGAACTTGACCTTGAGACGGATTTGTTATATGCCTGTTTGAGTAGAGGACAACTCATGTAACCTTATGAACAACAGATCTGAACCCTGGCCTATCCTGCGCCATCCTCACAAGCTCTGACACACTCGTCTCTGACACACATGTGCTTGTTGCTTCAGTCACGGTGTCAATCCACTTGGTTGGAGGTCTTATACTGATCCTTCATGTTTCCAAACGTGATGTCCCTCTCGCAGCAACATCCCCAAAGTCCGTGAGATGAGCTTCACTATCTTCGCCTCCTTCTGGTTGTACTTTCTCCAAGACGTATCTGTTTGTTCTTTTGGCAATTCATGGGATCTTCAGCAGCACTCTTCTCCAGACCCACCGTTTAAAGGAATTAATTCTTCTGTCCTCCTTAGTCATTGTCCAGCTCTCAGATGCATAGCAAGTGAGTAAAAAGACCATGTCCTGAATCAAGCACATCTTAGTCCTCAAACTGACATCATTGCTCCTCAATAATATGGAGAGGTCCCTGACTGTAGACTTTTCCAGTGCAATATATCTCCTCATGTCCTGGCTTAGGGTGTATTGATTGCGGATCCAAGGAAGATGAAGTTGTTGACAGTTTCAATCTTTCCTCCATCTATCATGGTGTTGCCTCTTGGTGCAGTGGGGAGAATTGTTGTTTTCTTTTTTCATTTTTAAAAAAAATTTATTCATTCACTGTTGTGCATTTTCTTCTCTCTCCCTTCCTACTCCCAAGTTTTTACTTTCTTGTTTTGTTTTGTTTAATTGTAATCCATATTGAAGGGTGCAGTGTTTGATCTTCTGCAGCAAACTCTCCAGGTTCTCACTTTCAGCAAGCAAGGCTGGGTCATTTACATAACAAAGGCTGTTGATGAGTCTTCCTCTAATCCTGATGCCACTCTCTCTTGCAGCTTCTCTGAAACTGGCTCCACGTGGGGAACTCTGACCTGGGAACACTGTGGTAAAGAAACTCAGAAGTCCTGGCTTGTAAGACACTTGTTCACTTCTAAAAGGGGAAGTGGTTATACGCCATAGAGGCAGAGCCAACTCATAACTGACCCTGCAGAGGGTTTTCAGGGGTTGCAAATCCCATTAAAGGTGATTACCCATCGATAGTGGATTCAAACTGCCTGAGATAGCTCATCTTTCTCCCATTCAGAACAACGGATCTGAACTTGACCTGTCCTTAACCTGAATTTGACCATATCTCTTGATATGCTTGCTCAGAGCAAGTCACAGTCACTGTGTAGAGGTGTTCCTCCAATTTTCCTTGCATAATCTTTTTTCTTTTCTTTTCCCTTCCCTTCCCTTCCCTCCCCTCCCCTTTTCTTTTCTTTTTTTTCTTTTCTTTTCTTTCTTTTCTTCTCAAGGCTTGAGCCCTCCTGACAACACGCCCCAAATATGTCTACACGGAGGATTTACGTCTTTGTCCATCTGTCTGCATTGAGGGAGAAATATGGGCAATCTCCTCCAGTTGCCACTTGCAATCTTGGAAACCCAGTGAACGGTTACAATGGGTCACAGTTGACTTTGATTTGACTAAAAGCAGACATTCAAAGGTAATACACGCGACCCTCCACTAGAGGCTCTGTCTCTAGCAAAAAAGCAGCTGGGTGGTGATCAGTTTAAATATATTTTTTAAAAATTTAAACATTTTTATTCATTCATTGTTGTGCATTTCTTCCCTCTCCCTCCCAAGTTTTTGTTTTCTTGACGTTTAATTGCAATCCATATTGAAGGCTGCAGTGTTTGATCTTCGGCAGCAAAGTCTCAAGCCCGCAACTCGCTTCGGACCCTCTGCTGCAAAACTGAAGGGAGAATGTGCAGTACGAAGCTTCTTTCGGGGGAAGTGAGATTCCCAAAGAAAAAGCACAAGGCACACGACCTGGTTTCTACAGCAATGTTTGCAGACTTTGAGAGAGCAATGGCATTCAAAATCATATTATGAAATGGTTTTAGCATTTCTTAGTTGGCTACATGGATCTTTTTCCGATTCTGAGTCTTCTTTCCTGTTCAAAGTGAAAAAAACAACACAAAAAGCCTCCCATACAACAAAACGAACATAAAAACCTATGACCTGTCTGTTACCACTTCCATAACAGGAGTTCTAGAGGCTCCTTTACCCAGGGAGGTTTCCGTAGTGTAGTGGTTATCACGTTCGCCTAACACGCGAAAGGTCCCCGGTTCGAAACCGGGCGGAAACAAGCGTTTTCTTTTCCTCCCTCTCATTTTTGAGTTGTCACTGTGGACTTGATTCTTGATTTACCAATAAGGACTGTGCAACCATTAGTAAAGTTAACTCTTTACAAGCTATTTCTCTAACAGCAATCTGCAGACTTAAGGGAATTGAACTTTTAAAAAATTGTATTCGTTGCGCTTTTATTGAATTCTTGGCTTCTAGAATAGCCCTAGATTTAAAAAAAAAAAAACCTGCAAAAATCCGGTATTGTAAAAACTGCACACAGTCTAGAAGGGAAAATCTGTGTGTGAAAATAAAGTTAGCCTTATCCCCTCAACTTATTCATAAATCATAAGGTTGCTCCACCCAGGCTCTTCTATTCCCCTCTAAAAAATTAGCATCATGAGTGCTCCTTAGAGGCAAGGAGGTGAAACTTCCTCTTAGGCATGCTGTTAGCAGAGACCAGTCCTCGGAAAAAAGATATTACTTATGCTTGGCAAGAGAGGAAGACACTCAACCAGACAGATTGACACAGCAGCAGTAAAAACGGGCTCCAGTATATCAGAGATAATGTGGATGACACAGGATAGGGTGGGCTTCTCATCCTTTGTTCACAGGCTTCCTAACAACAACTGACAACTAAGCAAAAAAGAAAGCTGCTTGTCAGTGGATCCTGACTCAAAACCCTTCATGTGCATCCGTGCAAAATGGTGCTGCAGCCCCTTGATAGATGGAGAAGAGATTGATGTTGTTAGCAATTACAGCTTGCTGGGATCCACAATCAACATTCTTAATACCAGCAGTCAGAAAATCAGAAGATGAACTGCATTAGGTAAATCTACTGTCAGGGACCTCTCCAAAGTACTGAAGAGCAACGATGTCAGTCTAGAGACTAAGGTGCGTCTAATCCAGGTCATGGTTTTCGCAATTACTTGTTATGCTTCGGAGGGGGTTGGACAATAACTAAGGATGACAGAATTATTGATGTCTTTGAGTTATGGTGCTGGAGAAGAGTCTTGATCATACCATGGACTGCCAAGAAAAATAGGTCTTGGAGACGGTGAAACTAAGTTTCTCCTTGGAGGTTAGGATTTTGAAACTCAGTCTCACATACCTTGGACACATGGCCAAACCAGTCCTTGGAGAGAAGGATATCATGTTTGGAAGGGTGGAGGGACAGTGTAGGAGAGGAAGACCCCCGATGAGATGGAACGATACAGTAACTGGGGTAATGGGGGTTGGTGTGTTGGAATTAGTGAAACTGCCTTAAACAGGGAAGGGTTCAGAGCTGCTGTACAGTAGGGTCACTATAGTTCACAGGCAACTTGATGGCATATAACAAGAAGTTTTTATGGCTGTCCTTTACAAAGCTCATTGAACCTGCACCTTTCACCCAAGGCATTGTTTTTGTGTGCCTGGAACAGACCCTTAGCTGGCCCTCCAGTGGGTTTTCAGAGACAGTTAATTGCATGAGAGATGATTGCCCATCTGACTACCACAGACCCTCCAGCAGGTTTTCAGAGAAAATTGCCCATTCATCTCTCATAGAGTTGCTAGCAGATTCAAACTGTGTGCCTTCCAGATTGCAGCGCAGCTTCTTACCATTCAGCCATCAGATTTCCCTACACTGCTTGACACAAAGCAATGCACAACCCAGGGACTCACAGACCCTAGTAAACCCACCCCCCATAGGGTAGATTCTAAATACAGGTTCATCTATGTCTCAGTAAATTACTGAAAAGCCATCCCACCGTGAAATCAGAAAGAATATCCTCAAAATCAAGAAGGAACCAGCTTCAAGGAATGGTTACTGTTTATTCAGATATTCTTATGGAGAGGAAAGTATTAAAAGAGCAAGAGGGTTTGTTATAAACAATGGGTTAAAATCCTATCCTGTGTCATTCTCATTATCTGTGTCACACTCAGGGCAACAGTTGGTCACAAAATCAAGTTTGTTGAGGGTCTTCCCCTCCTTTGCTGACCCTCCACCTTTGAATCCTTTTGTGTTCCATTTCATTTTTTTGACAACTTCCGACTTTCTTATATTCATACTTCGTACATTTGTTCCAATTACTCATGGACGTTTGCAGCAGTTTCTCATTTTGATCGCTCCGATTTAAGAGCACTGCCTCTGCTAGTACTGCTATCCAACAGCATCCCTCTATTATCCCCACAGGGCTTTCAAAGGCTTCTTATTTCAGAAAAGGATGACCCATCTTGCTTGCTAGTCTGTCTGAAGTCTGGAAGCTCCGCTGAAACCTGTTCCATATGGGTGACCCTCGCTTCCAGCATCAGAACAACCTGCAAGCCACTCAGTACAATTGACCAACAAATGCTGTACTTGTACTCTAAAGAGGAAAACGAATGCGTTCACGTCGAGGCTGATATTTTAAAGCCACGGCTAAATTGTTTACAGTCCAGAGACGTAACTTTTAGGTAGGAAAAAAGAAAACGTGGAAGAGATACGGTTTTCTGAGACTAAAGCCTTTGAGTACTGGGAATGTATTTCAACAAAATCTTTCTTCGTTTCTCTCTTTTTATTACTTTTTTCATTAACAATGTATCAATTTATTTTTTTATTAATTTTAATGAAAGTTTACAAAGACTTAGGGCTTCCATTCATTGTTGCACTTCTCTCCCTGCCCAAACCCTTCCCCCCCAATTCGCTTTTCTTTGAAAAGTAAAATTCTTTTATTTTTTTTTACAATCCCTCCCAAGTCCACTCCACTGCTGCAGCCTTCATTCTAGACTCCTGTCATGATAATAATACCTAATCATATATCCCTTTAAAACAGTTCTCTCCCTCATCTGTTTCAATGCATTATACATCATTCCTCCCCTGCTTCTGTCTTCTTTCAACCCGGATGTCAGTCCCATTTTACAACAGTGGCCCTATGCAATATTTGTCCTTTTGTGACTGAGATAGTTCACTCTGCATCATGTCCTCCAGGGCTATTTTATTATTACGGAAGTATTCATGTTAAAAAAAAAATCTGAAATCAATGTAAATAATCATATTAAAATTTTTCTTGTCCAGGCACAGGAAAACCCTTTCCGGCATAAAACCCACCTTTCCTTGAACGCTGCGCATGCCCCGTATGCCTAACTGCTTTGCTGCGCCTTCTTGCATCTGAGACTCCTACTAGCGCCAGGTAAGGGCATCCTAGAATCTGGGCGACATGTGGCTGATATCAACAAAACCGAGGGGTCCAGAGAGCTTTAGGATATGTAAACGGGAAAGAAATTATCAGTCTCTATTTAAAAATTCCCTCTGGATGAGAGCCCAAGTGTACACAAAGCAGCTGTCTCCACTCCAGGCACCCATGAGGACAGGATGATGGCAGGAGACGGAGAACTACAAATCCCAGCATGCAGCGCGCACTCCGACCTCGGAAAGACGCCCGCGGTGAACTGGTGCCCCCCCGCGGCCCAGAGCCGGGACCCGGCGTGAGCAGATGACCATCATGTTCAGAGTGAGGTGGACAGGCGGGGCTCTGTGGATGAATTCTTAAGTTCATCCTTATCTGCGCTGCCCCGGCTTTCACGCGAATGGGCATGCCGGGGAGTTGGGGACTGTCCACTCGGCCCTGGCTGGGGTCGAGACTCAAGCGGTCCATCAGCCTTCTGCGTTGCCAGGCAACACTGGCAGCCGGACGTGACGCCCCCGCGGAGGACGGGAGAGTCGGAGCGTGGCGCCGTGACGTCACGACGTCGTGACGTCGCCCAAGATGGCGGCGAGGGAGTGAATCAACCGTGTTTCCCCCTTGGATTGCGATCGGGTGAGTTCGCGCTTCCGCCCAGTTGACCGCTCCCGTTTGGATCTTGAACTTGGACTTTCGGAGGGCAAGTTTTCGAGGGCGGGTCGTGGCGAAGACGACCCAGTTTGGGTTCTTTTTAACGGGAAATCTTAGGAGCGGCAGCCCCGGCGGTGGCTTTGGCCGCAACCTTGGCCGTGGGCATTCGCGGGAGTGGTTCCTGGGCAGCGCGCAGGGCGGCCGACACCAGGAAGGGACTGGACACTGTCCAGCCCCACCTCGAGGGCCAGTCAGCTTGGGGAGGGACGGGGGCCGCCCCTGGCCGGGTGACAGGGGTCTGACAGCCCGTCGCTCCGGACAGTCCTGCTCTGGACACTCGCTTTGCGTTTGACAACTGTGCGAACCGGGGAAGCGAGCACCTTTCGGAGCTGTCAGAACTGATACTGATCGATCTTAACGCCTCCTCCTCAGCGGATATATTTTTTCTCCCCACCCTTAGTATGTATGGGTCTGCTGAACTTTGATCGTGGGGTTCAACTAATATCTGCGTGAGATTTTTAACACTTTCTTTTTTTGCAGCTCTGCGAGGTATTCTCATGTATTGGTGTCATCAGAGGAGTGTGTTAGTTGTTCAAGGTGAATTACAAAGGTAGAAAGTCAAGCCCACTTAACAGCTTAAAAAAAAAATAAAGTCCGATTTGACGGTACACACACAAAAATAAAAAGATTTTTAAAAAGTGAGACCTGATTTTTGTTCTTGTTTATGTTATGAACGTACCTTCATGTTCTTTTCTGTTTCTTGCACTCTCCACCAGTTGCTTAGGCAAGACGTTTGTTTGATGCACGCTGACAGTTACTGATTGACCTTTTTTTTCTTTTTTCTTTCCTTTTTTTTTTTTTTTGTCTTTTAGAACAAGGGTAAAATTCCATTCAGATAACAAAATGCAGTATTCCCACCACTGTGAGCACCTTTTAGAGAGACTGAACAAACAACGGGAAGCAGGCTTTCTTTGTGACTGCACTGTAGTGATTGGGGAATTCCAGTTTAAAGCTCATAGGAATGTGCTTGCCTCCTTTAGCGAGTATTTTGGTGCGATCTACAGAAACACTTCCGAGAACAATGTCTTTCTTGATCAGAGTCAGGTGAAAGCGGATGGATTTCAGAAATTACTGGAATTTATATACACGGGAACTTTAAATCTTGACAGGTAAAGTACACGCTTTTTTTTTTTTTTTAAATCAAGGCTGGGTAATAATATTTAGCGCTACAGTGTATTTGACTTATTGTCCCAACTCTTGTTTCTGGATTGAATCTTCCCAGATGGATACATGCACAATTTTTAAATAATGAAGTCTATTAAAGATTTGGAGTAAAAAGCAAATAGCATAAGAAAAAACCCACAAGGTGTTAATTAATGATTATAGCTATGTTTTTGACACATTGGTGCAAATTTAAAGATGTGAAGCAGTGAATTTTGCAGTCCAGTTTCCCACTGCTTAATTGGTATTTATATTCCTCTGGTCTTTTTGATTTTTGTTGTTCACTTCTTAAGGTGATTGAGATAGAGAAGAAAGGGGTGGGCGACTTCTGCTCAGTTAATCATACTCTTCGTTTCCACATGACATGGCTGGATGATGGGAACAGTAAAGTGCTTCACAGCAGCTTTGTGAGTCCACCCACAGGTGCCTCGAAAAGCGTCCCTAGCCGTCCGCTTCTAAAAGATTGTGTCCTTGAAAACTGTGCAGCATTTCTCCTCTCCACACTTAGGGTTGCTCTGAATTGATTTTTTTGGATGGCCGTCGGTAATAGTTTGAATAACTCAGTAAAACCAGTCCATTTTGGTGGTTCTTCGAGTTAGTGGTTTTTTTCTTTAATCCTTTAAAAAGTATGCCAGAATAAATCATGCTGAATTGATTTGAACGCATGGAGAGCACCTTCCTTTGAGCTGTATACAGAGAGCCAGTTTGAATTAGTAGTCAATCTTTTTTTAGTACACGCTCTTTCCGGCCCAGCCAGAAGTGTAAGAGAAGATGTGTACGGAAATAGAAGCTGGGGAGTCAACTCTGACTCATGACGACAGCCAGGTTTTCAAGGCTATAAATCTTGATCAGAGGAGGTTCCCTCAGGAGCAGCTGGTCCATTAGAACTGCTCTTTTGGCTCAAGCCCAGTTTGTAACGCACTTCTCTGGCATTGGAGCTCTGGTGGCCCAGTGGCAAGAAGCTGTGCTTTAATCCTGAAGGCACTCAGTTTGAGGCTGCTCTGGGAGAATGATGGGCAATCTCCTGTGTGATGAACTGCCCCTGAAAACCAGCTGGAGGATCAGCTATGGGTGGTTCTGACTTTACGGTACAGAACAACTACAGCTCTGTCAGGGCTCCTTACTCATCACGGAAGTCGACACAGTCGAGAACTAAGTGGGGTTAGCAGCCAGATTACCTTAGTCATGGTTAACCCACTGGGATCTTGGGCAAGTTTTTTCTTTTCATTTATGGTTCTTCATTTAAATGTAAAATGCAGATTGTTGTTACTGTTGTTTGCCTTTGAGTCAGAACTAACTCCTAGCTGGCAATCCAGAATGTTTCTAGAGGCAGAAAAGTCAATGTGGGGGAGATGCCTGTCTGTCTTCCACGGAGCAGCTGGTGGTTTTGAACCTGCTGCCTTTGGGATTGCAGTGCAACTTCTTACCACTAGAGCTCCCTAAAGTGCAGATTACAATAGGTTAAATGAGATAACCACGTAAAGCATTTAGCCATATAACTAGTATTTATGAATGATTTACACATTTTTGTTCAATAATAAACAGTTGCTAAGTGGCTTAATGCCCATTTATGTTATCCTTAAAGACTACCAGATTTTTTTTAAATGATTATTTAATAGAGTACTAAGCACAATTATAGTTTGGTTACATATAGTCTTAAAGAGTAGAGTAAATTGGTATGTCATCACAGTATTTCTGGGATATCCTTTTTAGTGGATTATATTTAAAAAAAAAATCGGTAAAATTGGTGAAGAATAAATGTAATGTTTTGAGAGAGTGGAATTAATATTTTTATCCCTCATACATACTGTGTTTCATGCATGTACATTATATATTTTGTGGTGGTTCCCCCCTCCACTTCTCACCCCTTTTCCACATTGTGTTTTATACAGTATTTCATTTATATTATATTTTGTTCATATCGGTTGTGGGGTTCCCCCCTTTAGGATTATCTTATTAATAGCTACATTCAGGAAAGCGTGTGAGCCAGTTACTTCATGCTTCTTTCCCTAACACCACTCTATTTGCAAAAAGATCTTTTATGAGAGGTAAATAAGAGGTGCATCTCTATATACTGTTTCTAGACAAGGAGAGAAATAACTTGATGAATCATAGATCCCAAAATTATAGGTAAAGGCCATAAAAAAGTACCGTAAGTAACATTTTCTTAACTGTGGAGAAAGTTTGGAAGCACTGTGCTGCAGAGGTTTCTTTGTAATGCTTGTGAATTTAAGATTTTTTCCAGAGAACAAAATGTTCTTTAAATTGATAATTAGATTTCTAAACTAGACTGTTAATTTGTTTCTTTTATAATGAGCTGGAAGTGGTTCTATTTATAATAGAAGAGTTGGCACTTGAGGGAAAGCAGATTTAGTTAGAAGATTAAGAAAGATTTGTAAGTTCTCTAGGATGCTAACGGAAGTAAGGAAAAGGTTTATGTGTGCATATATTTGTATACATGTGTGTGTTTGATACATGTCATGTACAACTAACACACTAGATACATATACAGATCATTAGCTATCATTAAAACTTTTTTACATATATTAATAAAGAGAGAAAAGCTCTTTTCTGAAGAACTAAGTGATCTCTGGAAAAGAAGGCAAGTAGGGGAGTACTTGTCCCCTTAAATAAGTAAAGGTCATGTTTTTTTGTTTTACTATCAATTCAACTTTGATTTTATGGCTTATTAATTCAGCTAGAAATGCCAGAACCAGTGCTAGGTTGATTAAGAAACCTTTCATTATAAAATTCTAGAGGCAAGAACTTTTTTTTTTAATATCTATATTTCCCTCACTATTGGAATGCTAAATATGGTAACATATCTTTCTAACAAACCTTCTCCAGCTAACTTGGCTTGCATATCACCAGAAAAGACAAAACAAGACGAGAGAATTGCTAGAAAGGATTCAAAACATAAAAACCACCCAAAACCAAACCCCTGCTGCCCACATGATGCCAGTTTATGGCAGTCAGGAGGGTTGAATGGAGGCTGTGAGTCTTGAGGGGAGGAGATTGCCTCGCTCCTGCCTGAGGAGCACAGGGTGATGTCGGGCTGTTTGGTTAGCAGCTTACCACATACGGCACTGTGCCAGCGGGGCGCCTTGGGAGGGCTCCTTTAGAGAATGTTCATCGCATGCTAAGACCTTGATATTGAAGTATGGTCCACAGACCAGAAGCATCTGCATCTCAGGGACTGTGGTAGAAATACATAATCTCCACTTCCACTGCGGACTTACTGCATCAGAACTTGCTTTTTAATAAGATCTGGGGGTAATTCGCCTGCACAGTAAAATTTGAGAAGGTACAATTCAAGCCCTTAACAGGAGAGCAGAGAAAAGGAGTAGAAAACGGGTGTTATTAGCCTCTTCCCCGTTTATGTCAATCCAAAGAAACTGTTGCTTTATGAAGAGTTATCAAAGTAAATGATAAGAGGTACAATTGGCTAACACCATTTTCTGTTGCATGTATAGATATGAAAAGCCATTCTTCTTTTTCCAGTTTGGTTCTGTGGCGTTGGAAATTTTTATATTGTTATGCTAAATGAATTACTTTTGTACTTTGTGATTTTTTTTCAGCATTCTGTTCAAAAGTTTTTCTTTGATCAGAATATTATCATTTAGCCTTGTTTTCCTTACAGTTGGAATGTTAAAGAAATCCACCAAGCTGCTGACTATCTCAAAGTAGAAGAGGTGGTCACTAAATGTAAAATAAAGATGGAAGATTTTGCTTTTATTGCTAATCCGTCTTCTACAGAGATCTCTAGTATTACTGGGAACATTGAATTGAATCAGCAGACTTGTCTACTTACTCTGCGCGATTATAACAGTCGGGAGAAATCAGAAGGATCCACTACAGACCTAGTTCAGGCAAACTCTAAACAAGGAGCTTTGGGAAGGAAGTCTTCTCAAAGTAAGAAGAAGAAGAAGGCTTTGAACGCTCAGAAAACAGAGCAGAATAAAATGGTGCAATATCCCAGTGACATTTTAGAGAACGCATCTGTTGAATTATTCCTAGACGCAAATAAGTTATCTACACCCATACCAGAACAGGTTGCACAAAGAAATGATCATTCAGAACTCGAGTTGACATCAGTTGTAGAGAATACTTTTCCAGCACAAGATAATGGACAGACTGTCACTGTGAAACGGAAACGTGGAAAATCCCAGCCACACTGTGCGCTGAAAGAACACTCTATGTCCAATATAGCCAGTGTTAAGAATCCTTTCGAGCTGGAGAGCTCTGGGGAGGAGCTGGATCAAAGGTATCCCAAGGCCAAGCCGATGTGTAACACGTGTGGGAAAGTGTTTTCAGAAGCCAGCAGTTTGAGAAGACACATGAGAATCCATAAAGGAGTCAAACCTTATGTCTGCCACTTGTGTGGAAAGGCATTTACCCAGTGCAACCAGCTGAAAACACATGTAAGAACACATACAGGTGAGAGTGCACTCTGGGCTCTGTCCTTGTCCTCATACTGTGATGGAAATCGTTTTAAACGCATTATTAGAACAAATAAATGCTGACTCTCTGTGCTTCAAATTTGTTATAAACGTGTCCTCACAAAAGTGGTAGGTTAAAGTTAAAAATGTGTTTTCAGTACTCAGCAAGTATTTTAGTAGGGGGTTTTTGGCATTTAATTACTTAATTGTCTTTGGTCAAACATTCTTCTAAGTGGTATAGCACTGGTCCATTAGCTGTACAGAGGTAACTCGCAGTTGCTGGGATGTTAAACACTGTGACACTGATGTGTCAAATGCAATAATGATTAGCCATAGAGGACCATGTTTGGTGGAGCTCCCCAGTTAAAACAAGCTTGGAAGCAGGAGTAGCATCCACTTCTGAAATAGCTTGTCTCCGGAAACCCTATGAACGTGGAAAAACTATGCAAGTTATACAAGTATTTAGGTCTTTCATTCATAAGGTCTCTATGAGTTGTCTACAGCTTGATGGCACTTAACATTTATTATAACTGATAAATGCCTAGTGCATGAGTTCTTTCTACTTTTTTTTTTCTTCACAAAGTAAGCATAAGTTTGCTTCTAGTATGTTAAGTATTTAACAGAGCTGAAGATATTAAAGCTGATAGAGGAGAAGTAATTCGAGCTCAGGCCATTTCTGAGATTTTGTCAGTACCACGCATCCCCTATTTTCTTGACCTTGCCAATACTGTACTTGGTTATTGGAATTGCAAATACCTTCTTTTTCAGCTCCCCATTTCTTTTGGTCAAATGTGAGCACTGGATCTGTAACCCTACATTTGTTACTTTTAAGCTGTAATATATATATTTTCTCATTGATCACCTGACACTGTTATTAATTGAAAATCACAAATATTTAAGTCTATAAGTATATACTTGAAGAAAATTTGTCATGAGTCAGAAAAAAAGAGGTATTTTTTCCTTCTAGTTCACATTTTGTATTAAGGCTGGTATTGTTGATGAGCTCTACGAGCAGAATGTTACCTTCTAAGGTAAATTTTCCTTACTCTTTTCCTTTAGGTGAGAAGCCATATAAATGTGAATTATGTGATAAAGGATTTGCTCAGAAATGCCAGCTTGTCTTCCATAGTCGCATGCATCATGGTGAGGAAAAACCCTATAAATGTGATGTATGCAATTTACAATTTGCAACTTCTAGCAATCTCAAGATTCATGCCAGGTAAAAAAAACCGAAACCAAACCCCACAAACAAACCGCACCTCGTTTGATCTTTTTGCTTGTCCTTCCCTGTAATCTTATGAATAGATGACCCCCTGCTGTGAAGTCGCTTCTGACTCCTGGCAACTTTATAGGACAGAGTTAAACTGCCCCCTAGAACCACCAAAAATGTAAATCTGCACAGACAGACACCATTTTTCTCCCATGGAGCAACTGGTGGGTTTGAACCACCAACCTCTTGGTTAACAGTTCACCACCTAACCACGGTGCCACTAGGTCATCTTGATGGATAATCTGCCGCCTTAGATTTGAGGGGTAGAATTGTCATCATGATCTCACCATAAAATATGTGTAGCACATTCAGGGTGCTGCTGCAGAACGGTGGTGGGGAGAGGGCAGCTGGGAAGTTAGTGATGTAATAATAAGATCTGAATATGCTAAGTGAGCACACATGGTACTCAGCTTGTTCTTGAGAGTGAGATGCTGATCTGATAGTGCTTGTATTTGAAGAGGATCATTTTGGCTGTTGCTTAGGAGAGTAGGACCATTCGAGTAGGAGCCGGGTAGCCACTCAGGGAACCAAAACCCAAGTGAGCGTGATAGTGGCTTAGACAGTGGAGAAAGTAAGAAGTTAAATTCTGAACACATTTTCTTCAGTTGAAGGAATTTGATAGGTTAAATGTCAAGGATGAAAGAAAAGCCAAAGAGGTTCAGAGGTTGTTTGTGCATTGGAGAAGGTGAGCTTGTGTTAACTGGGGATATTCACATATAAAGCTTTCTAACAAGGAAAAGACGAGACTCGTGTTTGAACATAGTAAGTTTAGTGACTAGTGGACTTCTGTCATGGAGATGTGTGATAGATAGTTGGATATCCAAGTTTAGGGTTCAAGGTACTGGCTGGCGTCATTGGTATTTAGATGCTCTTGAAAGCCGAGTTCTGAAGCTAAGAATGATCATTGACAAGAGGGAACCATCAGGCCTCTAGGAAGGAGCAGGCATTATAGCAAGAAAACTAGGGAAATGTTTGTTGTTGTTGTTATTAGGTGCTGTCAAGTCACTTGCGACTCATAGCGACCCTATGTACAATATCCCTAAACTCTGCTCTGTCCTGTGCCAATCGCACTGTCTCTGACACTCCCATCCCAATTACCGCAGTCACTGAATCAATCCACCTCATAGAGGGTCTTCCCCTCCTGCGCTGTCCCTCCACCCTACCAAGCATGATGTCCCTCTCCAAGGACCGTTCCCTCCTTGCAGCATGTCCAGAGTATGTTAGACGGAGCCTTAGAATCCTTGCCTCCAAGGAGCAGCCTGGTTTCACCGTCTCTAGGATGAACTTGTTTGTTCTCCTGTCAGTCCATGGTATATTCAATACTCTTCTCCAGCACCACAGCTCAAAGGCATCAATTCTCCTTCTATCCTCCCTAGTCATTGTCCAACTCTCTGATGCATAACAAGGCCTGTATCAGACGCACCTTAGTCTCCAAAGAGACACCATTGCTCTTCAGTACTTTGGAGAGGTCCCTAACAGCAAGGAAATAAACTGTCCTAAAATTCAAGTGGGGGAGGGAGCAGCTACGGCAGATTCTGTTGATGGGGGACTAAACACTGAGAAGTGACTGGTTAGTGAAATGGGAAGTCAGCAGAGCTATTGTTAGACAAAGCATTTGTTTAAAAAAGGAGTATTAGAGGCTAACAAGTCAAATACTTGGAGACTAAAGAAGTTTTCAATGAAGTGGGAGAGAAATAGAACAATTGGTTTTGCTTTTCTTTTTTGTTTTCTTTAAAGATGGGAAAATATCAGTACGTTTGTAGGATGTAATCTAGTTTGATGGGGAAAATGGAATTTGTAGGACAGGAAATTCAAGGATGGTAACAGGGTACATAAGGGGCTCCACTTGGAAGGAGTTTAAGATAAACTGTCATCCTTATAGTTAACGAGAGAGAAAGTTATAGGCATAGATTCTAGCAGACGGAGTTGGAATGAAATGGTACAAGTTTTCTTCTGATTTCTTAAGTTTTTCTCAAGGAAATAGGAAGCAAGGACATGAACTGAGTAGACAGAGTTGGAATGGAATGGCACAAGTTTTCTTCTGATTTCATAAATTTTCTCAAGGAAGTAGGAATCAGGGACATGAACTGAGTGAAGAGTGAATGGATTAGTCGAATTGCTGGGTAGAATTAGAGGCCCACCCAACAATCATGTAATGGTGGTGGCAAAAATGACGAATCGCTCTCAAAAGTGATGTTTTCATTAAAACCAGGACATTTATTTTTGGCAGTTACAATCAAAGACTTCCAAGTTTTCAGTTCATATTCCTGATTTATTAAGATTGAAACACTGTGTAAGACACCGTGTTCGGTGACTGTGCAAAGATTGGTCCTCACGCTGTTGTCCGCCGGCTCACCAGCACGTTGCCTTCTTCCCAGGAAGCACAGTGGGGAGAAGCCGTATGTGTGTGACAGATGTGGACAGAGGTTTGCCCAGGCCAGCACGCTGACCTATCACGTCCGGAGGCATACTGGAGAAAAGCCCTACGTCTGTGACACCTGCGGCAAGGCCTTCGCTGTCTCGAGTTCCCTTATCACACACTCTCGAAAGCATACAGGTAAGGGCTGGACGCACACTTCTCAAAAGTGTTGGAGAGAAAAGAAGAAAGGCAGTAAAGTATGTCTTCCTAGGAAGTGGGTTCACTGTATAGCCAGATCATTGTATTTGTACCTCTGGGAGCTTTTCAGCTTTATGATTTTTTTATAAATACTGGATATAAAAATTGTCTTTTAGAATATTAACAGGATGGTAATCTTTTATCATGCATCTTGGCCATTAAAGTCAGTGAGATCATTTTGACGAAATAAACATGAGTTGAGGCATGTTTTATGATCTTAGGAAACTGCCTTAGTGTCTTGAGTTTAGTATTTTTTAAATAAAATTTTGGAGTAGTTAGAGGTGAAGGTGGGTTTGGATAGGACATATATAGACATTCTGAGATTTGAAGAGATTATAAAGAGATAACTTCAAAGGCAACTAAGTTGTGAAGCAAACTTAATTCCTCAGAGGTTTTAATTTTCTTGTACATTTTTTCCCCATAGAATTTTTCCTAACTACCTTTATTTCCCTTTATCTCATGGTGTATATTATATACTAATGATGTGAGTACATTTTTTAATCATATTAAAGTCAACATCCTTGCCCACCCATCTCAGCTAGAAGGCACATTTGCAGAAAGGTTCGTTATGTAAAAAGCTTCAGGTTACATCGGCAGTATAAAATAACTGTTAATATTAAGTGGAAAACTGAAATCTAGTATTAAGTGGTTTTGATCTAAAAACTATTTTAATAGGTTTTTTTAGGTTATTTGTACTTAATAAATATTATATTGGTATAGTACACCACTTCGTTTTTATCTTCCATCTAGGTGAAAAGCCATACATATGTGGTATTTGTGGGAAAAGTTTTATCTCCTCAGGAGAGCTCAACAAACACTTTCGATCCCATACAGGTCTGTGTTTAGGGAGAATGGATTATTTTTTTGTTCTCTCTAATTTTTTGTTATATAAACCTTGACTTTTTAAGCCGTTATCAACTTAAATGGTTTGAAGTCATACCCTATCTATAACAATGTTTTAATGTCTAAAGATCAACTTTTTACTTGGTTATTTCATATTTTTTTTAGTTGCTTCTAGTGTGAAGTTTGTCAGGAATTGTGTCCGCTTTCTAAGACGTGCAGCAGATAGCCAGTGTGTAATGGCAAGGGTTAGAGTGCACAGATAATGACAACATCAGGCTTTATTATTAAGCAGCAGTTAGTGCGTATGTTTAATAAATAAAATTCAGCCTTTCATGGGTTTATTGTAAAAAGTAAATAGATTGAACCCTGAATGTAAAACAGATTTTGGGAAATGGTACTTTTAAAATGTATGGCTTTCAGTTTATAGAAAAGAATTTCTCACAATTTATATGTAGAGCAGTTTGAGCATCTAAGAGAGTTTTAAGAAGTAAATTTACTGACCACGTATATAGTAACGTCATGATATAAAGATATTTGTACAATTTCTGATTTTTAAAGCATATTAATTTTTGTACCATTTCAGTCTGTCAGTATTTTTAAAGGATTTTTTTACATAATCTGAGCAGAAAATAAAATTTCTTTTATTAGCTGTACCTTGAGCTGGTGTTCAGTAGGAATAAAAGTTTAAGTTGTTTTCATAGTTTGCAAGTAAGTTTTTGGTAGTGAACATGTTTTGCCCCTGAAAGTGGGGATAAAACAGCACGTGAATGTATTCAATCTTTCATTTATTATTAGGAGCCAAATTAGAACTAGATGAGTAAATAGCTTAAAAATAATATTAAGCAATATAGTAAATTTTTTTTTTGCTGTGTGCTCATTTGTTTTAGTCCTAACTAGCAGCTTCTAAAATAGTGAAATCTTGAACTTTCTGTTTTTCAGGAGAACGACCATTTATCTGTGAATTATGTGGAAATTCTTACACAGATATTAAAAATTTAAAGAAGCACAAAACAAAAGTCCATTCTGGTAAATGCTTAAAATTTCTCATCATTTCGAGTGCACTGTCCCTTCAGCTGTCGAGATACAGAGTTTAGCCGTTTATTTCGAGGTCGGGGGTGATACATTTCTTTATCTGAGGCAGCTCTGATGTCATAGTCTTACGGAGTTGTACTGCTGACTCAAAAGCCAGTGCCTCTCTGGCAGTTCAAAGATTGAAGCTGCCAACTATTTCATTTCACTTGGATCCACAGTTAACACTCCTGGTAGCAGCACTCAGGAAATCAGAAGACCTGTTGCATTGCGGAAAGCTTGTCGAGAGTCTCCTTAAAGTGCTAAAGGGCAAGGATATAATTTTTTAAGACTGTGGTGCACCAAACCATGGTAATTGAGTTGTTCCATACGCATGTTAAAATTAGAAAAAGGGAGCTCTGGTGGCCTAGTGGCAAGACGCTGCACTGCAATCCCAGAGGCACACGGTTCAAATCCACCAGATGCTCTGCTGGAGAAGGAGGGGGAAATCTCCTCCTGTACCTGTCAGATCTGATTTGACGGTACATGTAAAAATAATACAGTTTAGAAAAAAATAAGGAAGGCTGAATGAAAAACGTGTGCCGCTAATGGTGGTGGTGGCAAAGGTTATTGAACACACCACGGATTGCCAAAAGAACAAGCAAATCCAGCTTGGAGGAGATGCAGCCGCCTTGGCGGCAAGGACGGTGACACCTCGTCTCACGTACTTGAGGCATGTTGTCTGGAGGCACCAGATGTCGTGCTTGGAAAAATAGAAAGTCGGCAAAAGAGAGGAAGATGCCCCAGGGTGAATGACAGTGACTGCACCAGGACATGAGCACGTGGTGGAGAGTGGGTGTCAGGTGGAGAGTGTGATGAAGGCACAGGGGGGTAAGGTTTCCATCAGTCCGTGAGTCACGGTCAACTCGACAGCATCGAACAACAGCAGTGAGCTATACTTAAAATATATTTCTCCTTTAAAATTGTGATTTCAAATTCTTTTCGGGTGATCAAGTATGGAATAAACTATGGTCTGAGTAATTCAGGGTTTACTGTCGTTATTAGAAAGTGTCTTGATGAACACTCACGAACACTAACCTAGAAATAGAAGAGGAAACAGGGAAATGAGTAATTCTAGATTGTTAAAGTATATGTAAATCCAGATGACTGTTTAAAATGAATTCTTAAACATTGTGCAGTGCTTGTGTTACCATAATTAGAAACAACAAAACAACATTTCTTTACTCTGTAAATGGCTGTTCATAAGATTAAGTTGGAAGCATCTGAAAACTGCAGTAAATCATTAATTCAGCATTTACTAAATGCCAGTAAAGTGCATATAACTGCAGAAATAGGAAGTCAAAGGGGACGTGGATCTGACCCTAAAACACTTTCAATATGGTGTAGGAAAGCAGAAACAGACATACATAACTTTAATTACAAGTGAAGGATATACAAGGCTCAGAAAGTGATGATGAAGGGAAATATCAATTGCTTTTGAGGTAGGTTAAAATTTAAAAACCTTTATCATTAAAACTATGAAGGGTTAAAATTTGGAGCAACGGTGAAGAAAGAATGGTTCAGAGGCTGGGATGGGAAAGAGTATACAATCTAGGCAGAAAATCTTGTGAAGAACAAAGCATAGGCTGTATTTTGTTTCGTAAAATTGTAGGGTAGTTTGGCAAGAATACAGCAAAGGATCCGTGCAGTTTTGTGTGACGAGGATGTTGTGTGCATGGTCTGTGGAGCTGACTGCCTTCCATCTCTGCAGGACAGAGTTAAACTGCCCCAGTGGGTTTCCCAGGCTGTACATCCTTAGGGAAGCAGGTTGCCACACTTCTTCTTCTGGTGGGTTTGAACTACCGACCTCTTGCTTAGCAGTTGAGTGTTTAGCCACTGCTCCCCCCACCAGCGCTGCCGACTAGCATACTGCAAATGAAATCATATCAACGCTTTAGAGTAACAGACGTTGTTAAACTGGTGCACATTTTTAAAGCAAAGAGGGATAATAACATTTATGTCTGTTAGTGTAAAATTACTCCGTTCGGTAAACAGTATGAAAATACCATATATATGAGCTTGAGATTGCACCGAATTGTATCAGCTATTGAACACATGGTGTCATTATTATCATTCTAGGTCTTTGGCCCTTTAAAGGAGTGGGGCAAGTACAACATTTTACCCTCAGGGAATTTAACATCTATTTGAAGAGTCAGGGTAAACTTGAGTAGAATGTCAAGACATGTCATAAAACCATATGCAAAAAACCTTGTTCTGCAACAGTTAAAACCACTTTTACAATAGCGGGAGTGTTTGGACTTAAATGAGATTTTAGATGTGCATAGATAGTTATGGGATAAGGAGAGGCTAGTCGGTGGAAGACAGAGAACATGAGTGAATGAAGAACATAGGGAAGAAGATAGCAGGAACCACAGGTGCCAGAAGTTTTATTTTGTTAAACATAGTCCTCTTCCTCTTTCCATTTCAGGTGCAGACAAAACTCTGGATTCCAGTGTAGAGGACCATAATTTGAGTGAACAAGATTCCATACAGAAAAGTCCTTTTTCAGAAAGTATGGATGTGAAGCCTTCTGAGATGACCTTACCACTCTCTCTTCCTCTTGGGACTGAGGACCACCATATGCTTCTGCCCGTCACAGATAGTCAGTCTCCTCCGTCGGATTCTTTGCTGAGGTCAGCTGTGAATGGTTATTCAGAGCCACAGTTGATTTTTTTACAACAGTTATACTGACTTTATGAAGAACATGGAATTGCTTCGATATCTCTAAGAGTAAATACATTTCTGGTAAAGGACTCGATTCATATTAAATTTCCATTCACTTGAGTTGTGACTATTATTTTTTCACTCACCTGAAGTAAAGCACTTGATGCCGCATCATTGCTGTGCAGTGTTTGTTTGATCTTTGACATTTATGTCTAGTGCGGATTATACTTCAGCAGCTCTGTCTTGGTTGCATAAGGTTTTTGGTTTTAAAGCCAACTTAGTATTTTAGAATCGCCCTTCATTTGTTGAAGTAAAATCTGATTCCATTTTTTGTTTGGGTTTTTGGTGGTTGTTTTTTTAAATTGTAAAATGTATACAAAACATTGTCCATTTCAAATTCTTCCCACGTACATGGGTATATTCATCATGCTGTGTCTCCATCATGGCTAATCTGTTTCCAGGATTTTCATCATCTTAACTGAATTCAGTGCTCTTTTCCTTCCCTTAAATCTAAACAGAATCCATGATATTAGCCCACGAATGTTGCTGTTTATAAGCTCCACAGGCCAGTACATAGTCGTGGAAGCAGTGAGGATACGTTTCTTTCTGCCGACAAAAACTCTGTACTAATTCAAAGTGAGCTCCTTCTCTAACAATGTATTTCATTGGCATTCACTATCCTAATGAGACAAGGCTTTCTTTTAAAAGCCAGAAAATCATATAAACTTTCATTCATTTAAAAGTCAGTGTTTTGGAGAGAACTAGTTAATAGTACTTTTGGTTTGTGTGTTAATTGATGCCAAGATTTTCAAAAGGAATTTTAAATAGGTATTTGTTTTCTATCTTGTGAAAACACTGTTTTAAAGTTTAATTCAATTGCTTATGTTTTAATAGGTTTCTAAATTGCTGGAGATCAGTAGATTATACTGGGTTTTGAAATTTTTATAAGCATCTCTTATGCCTATTATGCACTTTTAAAAAGAAAAACTAAAAGTTTTTTTCTAAATATGAACTTGCTGAGTACTATATAAATCATTTGATTTCCTAATTTGATACATTATGTAAAGAGTAAGAAGGTAGCTTCAATTATAAGGTAACATTTTGGACTATTAGAAAGTCCATTTATTTTCTATTTGAGTTTTTATAAGCTTTGGATTCTAAAATTTTATAAATTAAACCTTTTGATTACATGTAGTTTTACAGAGGTCCTTTTCCTTCCTGTGAATGGAGAAAATTCCACTTGATTCAGCTGTTCCCTGTCGCTCGACCCTGTTGCCACTTTCCCCATGTATTTATTTCCTTACCTGATTTTGGTGGATTCGATTATCAGTACTATACTGTTGATCAGAGTCACAGCCACCTTATTTCTGCCCAGCGTTATTGTGGCTTGTTTTGTATTACATTGATAATAAAATTAATGTATTTTCTATTGGTCTTAATTTGGTTTAATTGGTAAAAGCGGTAATCTTTCCGATTAAGCAGCCTCCTCTTGATGTATATCAACTAATAAAAAATGATGAATATATGTCTGTAACCAGTGGGTCACAGTGTGTATCGCTTCTTCACGGTATCTCAACTTGGAAACCATATCTTAAGCCTGAAACCACACTGTAGCTCTGCTTTTCAGCAAAACCACAGGCAAGTAAATAGTAATGTCAGGGAAGTACTCCCTCCCTTAGAGCAAGAACAATCAATCATACAAGACAAACCTTTTTACCACTTCATAACAACTTCAGTTAAGATACTTGTAATGATCTTCTATTTTACCTACTTGGTTATATTTTCATTACAAAAAGAAATTATTTGAAAATTTTAGTCTCCACTTAGCAAAAATTGTTTTTCTCTTGGTAAGAGAGTAATAATATTTTGGAGGGAGATCATTTTGATTGACTATATCTCACTGGGTTCTTTTGATAGTATTTTTACCCCATTGTTGAACATCTTTCCCCTCCCCCCAAACCCACCCCACAATCCACCCCGTGTTCCAGATTGTTACAAAATTTTGTACACTCAGTTTTTCACAGTGGACAATTTAATGATATTAAAGTTCAATGTAGTTATATCTTTTACACATTTGACAAAAGTAATGCATTCTAATTTATAAAAAAATGAATTAATAGGAAATGAATTGTTAAGCACTGAAAGTAGCAAATAATATTACAAATTAGAATTTTTTTTTCATAGATGTTGAGCTGTTGGTACAAGGGCAAAACCTGCATTACTTGAGTGATTATACGCTTCTCCATAGGTTGGTGTCCAGTAATAATGCTTTTTCAGACCATTGGAGACTTCTGCCAGATACACATGTCCGTCCACCACGTAGGGCTCTATGTCCGTATTGTCTGGTTTTAAACGACCTAGTTCAATTAACTTTGAATATTCCTAGGGTTTTTAAGAAAAGGAAAAACATAACATTGTTAAAATGGTTGATTCATTTTATAATGCTTATTTAAATATTCAAATCAGCCATGTAAGTTTGTAATCTGAAATAAAATATTACGAACAACACTGTCCAATTTTACTACTTCCTAGGTGTCATATTAGATGGCGTCAACTGTGAACAACAGAATAAAACCTATACCCCCATTTGGCCCTAGTGTGGAAAATCGGGAATAGAGGTACCATTTGATCCGTCAGTTCCCCTGCTTGGTATATATACTACACAAATAATAGCTGTACTACAAAGTGATGTGCACGAATGTTTACTGCTGCATTATTTGTAACAGCAAAAGAGTTGGAAACAAGCCGGGTCACCATAAGCACAGATGAATGGCTAAAGAAACTGGCATATTAACATATTAGGGTAGATACACACCAAAAGCCGATTAAGAAATCTGTAAAATAATGCACAGCATGGACAAAATTAGAAACGCTGAGAGAAACCTAACTCTAACAGCAGGACAATCGATATAAAACCACTAAGACAAAAAGCGACAGACTTCAGGTTTGTTCATGGGGTGCTATGAGTTGTACTTGACTTGTTGGTACCTAACAATAACAATTTATTAAGTCAACCACAGGCTCATCTAATATTAGCAGTTTTTCTCCTTTGCAACTAATAAAGTGGGGAGTGATTTGAAAGGGAGAAAATAGCAAAGGGAAAATGTTCTACACAGTCTTAATCTTGGAGGGTCAACAGAGATGAGACACAAGGAAGAGGGGAGAAAACAGAACGAAACCAGCAGCCTCACCTTTGCTCCACCTCTCCGCCTCCACCGTCCACCGTCCACCGTCGTCACTGTGCTAATCCAGTTTGTTTGCTAAAGGTCATCCTCTTTTAGCTTCTACTCTTCCAAGCACAACATTTCTTTCCACTGGCCCCTCCTGAAAACACGAAGTCTGCAAACTGCCTGCACTTTCCCACCATCACAGTTCAAAGGCATCAGTTCTGTGCTAATGTCTTACTCCTGTCCAACTTTAAAATGCATATGGAGCAATTGAAAATAGCACGGCTTGGGTTAGGCACACTTCAGTCTTTAAATTGGCATTCTTGTTCTTTAGTGCTTTAAAGCCATCCTTTATTCAGTCAGTTTTACATGTTGATTGCCGTCGAGTCGAGCACAACTCATAGTGACTCTATGAACAAAGACCTAATGCCTTTCCATAACTATCGTTTCTCCAAGTTCATAGAGTTCCCAGAGGCATGTGGCTTAGGAAGTAGATGCTAGTCCTTCTTCCAAACCTGTCTGACAGCTGGGAGCTCCACCAAACACTGTCCACAATGAGAAACCGTTCTGGTATTTGATACCCCAATGGTACAAGGTTCAGCATCATAGGGAACTAAAATTTTATAAAAACTAATTCAAGGTAAGATATTGGGCATGATTCCTTAGTATTAAATTTAAGGACACGTGGTCTATAGTCAGAATTTTCCAGTTCCACATTATTGTTTAATCAGGGGTATTGTATATGCCTGTGAAAATCTTACTAAGTAGGAACCTATTTCTCAGAAAAATAATTCAAAGCAGATTTTGGCACACAATCGTACGGAGTTCATTATTACTATAAGGTGCTATTGAGTCTGCCCTCACACAGCAACCCTGTGTAACACAGAACGAACTAAATCTACAGGCTTACAATTTCCATAGTATGGCCTGGCTTTCCCAATTCTTCACTGTAGAAGAACACAGACTGTTAAAAGGATAAATTTGTCAGATTCATAGATATAATTTGCCATTCTACAGAAAAGCAGAAATTTAGACAGTAAAGAATTTTGAAAGCCAGCTGCTTCTGCTTTAGTTTTTCACTTGTCATTAGTTTTAAGGGATTTCTTATAATAGAATTATAAGACTTGGGCCTTCAACATATTTTGAGTTTGAACATAACAAATTTGTTCATTCCTTTCAAATAAAGATTTTCCTTGTTTTAAATAGAATCAAAGGCTCTCTGACTTACATCTGTGAGAAATATTTTGACAAAAGTCTCTTTAAATTCCACGTCTTGTTTAATTTAGGAAAGCTTATTGAAAATTATACCACTGTGAGCAGCCTTTTTAACTCTGGGAGAATTAGACCTGTGTGATTCAATGATCTTTATGCAAATACCCGCTCCTTGCTGTCTTGGGCTTTTCAACACAAAAGATTTCAGTAGCTGAAGTTTAAGACTTAACTATCAGAATGACTAGATCTCATTACAATTTCTAAATATCTTAAGACAATTTTCTAACTTGTGAATGTTCTGATTTTACACGAAGGATTTTGGAAGAAAACTTACCACACATGTAGCCTCATCAAATTTGTTTCCCCAAATGTAGAGGTGGGAGAGGGTGACATTTGTTTTCATGGACTGTGCAAGTGCAGTAAGTCCCTCCCCTTCTATGTTGTTACTCACTACTGACAACCTAGAAAAACAAGGAACAGCCTTGGAAACCAGTCGTTTTCACACGGAACGCATGAGTTAGTGACGACTTTATTGCAAACATTAGTGTACTTAGCATTCTTTTTCAATTTATCTTAATGATACGGTTTACTAGTGACTTTAATGACTAAAATTCATGAAACCTGTTTTCTAACTAGTTGTGTGTGTGTGTGATTGTACCCACTAGTTACCCCTACATTCTGAAAGTTGTCTCGGTTTTTCAGTAAATGGTCTGTCCATTTGTGTACAGAGACCACTTGTGGTGGCTGTGATGCTGAACACTGTGACACTAATGTGTCAAATGTGATGATGGTTTCCTATGGTGGACAGTGTGTGGTGGAGCTCCCCAATTAAAACAAGCTTGGAAGCAGGAGTGGCATCCACTTCCAAAATAGCTTACCTCCAGAAACCCTATGAACTTGGAGAAATGATGAAAGTTACACAAGGTTCAGGTCTTTCGTTCATAGGGTCACTATGAGTCGTCTACAACTCGACAGCAGTTAACAACAACACATGAGTGACTTACAAATTGTTTAGGACAAAGTCATTAATTATTTTTGTTATTTTTAAGTTTTTAACATAAAGAACGCATACTGTTTTGCTCAAACTTGGGAAAAATGAGAAAGACTTTTCTATTAATTTTAAGAAGCAACCCAAACCAGAATTAAAATAATTTTTAAGAGAGAAATAATAGAGTTAGCAAGACTAGAAGCTGGTTCTTTGAAAGGATTAAAATCAACAAAACCCTGAGAAACCTTAGCAAAGGAAAAAAATGTGAATAAGGAATGAGATAGAGTGATGTAACAGAAGCAATGGAAATAAAAAGGATAATAACAGTATATTATAAAGAACTGCACTTCAGTTGATGGTCTCATCGGATGGGCTCCACAGGAATCAAAATGAATCATCAGTGGAAAGAGACTTTCGAGCTTAACAGCAGCAGTCAAAACCAAGCAACACGTTCACAAGAGCTAAGACAAAACCTTGGGTGTATCCCTAACTGAATTTCAAAACCATCTTCACAATAGATTTGATACATTGAACACCAATGACCAAAGACCAGATAAGTTGTAGGATGACATCAAAGACATCATCCATGATGAAAGCAAAAAGTCATTACAAAGATGAAGATACAAGAGCACAATGAATGTCAGAAGACACTCCTAAAACTTGCACTGGGATGAAAAGAAGCCAAAATAAGAGAAAGAAATACTGAAATAAGAGAGCGGAATAGATTTCAAAGGGCAGCTTGAGGAGACAAAGCAAAATATTACAATGAAACTGCCAGGAGCTAAACTTAGAAAAGCAAAAGGAAGCCTGGCATTTTTTTTTAAGCTGAAAGAACGCTGGAGCAAATGAAGGCCTTACGTTGCCATATTGAAGGAAAATATGGACAAAATCTTGAGTGATGCTGGAATCCCCTGACAAAGATGGAAAGAATACAGAATCACTACCAAAAAGAATTGGTTGGCACAGAACCATTTCAGGAAGTAGCATATGGTCAAGAACCATGGTACTAAAGGAAGAAATTCAAGCTTCTCTGAAGACATTGGCACAAGCTACCTGGCCAGCTGATGGAAGACATCCACATTTGCTCTCATTGCCCAAAAAGGTGATTCAGCAGAATGTGGACATTATCAAACAATATCATAACTATCACAGACAAGTAAAAACCCTGTTGAAGATTATTAAAAATGGTTGCAGCTGTACATTGATAAGAAATTTCCAGAAATTCAAGTTGGATTCAGAAGAGCTCAAAGCATGAGGGATATCACTGTTAATGTCAGATGGCTCTTGCCGGAAAGTACCAGAAAGATTTCATTTTGACTATACAAAGGCATTTGCGTGGATCATGACAAATTATGGCTAACATTCAAAAGAATGGGAACCCCAGAACATTTAATTGTGTTCATAAAAAAAATGGCTACATAGGTCAAGAAGTAGCTATTGGAACAGAATAAGGGAATACTGTTGTTTTAAAATTAGAAAAGGTATACGTCATGTTGGTATGCTTTCTCCATACCTATCCAATCTCTGTGCTAAGCAAGCCATTTGAAACTCTGGACTATATGAAGAACAGTGGCATCAGGATTGAAAGAAGACTCATCAACAACCTGTATTATGAAGATGACACACCTTGCTTGCAGAAAGTAAACTTGATGAACTTATTCTAAAAGATCAAAGACTTCAATATGGGTTCCAACTCAAGATCAAGAAAACAAAAATTCTTACCACTGGTCCAATAGGCAACAAAACATCATGAGAGTGAGGAAAAAATTCAAGTTGTCAATGATTTCATTTTACTTGGGTCCACAATCAAACACCCATGGTACCAGCAGTTAAGAAATCAAAAGACAGGGAGCTCTGGTAGCCTAGTGGCAAGAAGCTGCACTGCAACCCCAGAGGTATATAGTTTGAATCCACCAAATGCTCTGCTGGAGAAGGAGGGACTCCTCTTGTACCAGTCAGATCTGATTTGACAGTACACATACATACAAAATAATAAAATTTTTAAAAAAAGAAATCAAAAGACATAACTGCATTGGGGGAAATGGCTATCAAGGACAGCTCCCAAAATTCTAAAAAGCAAAAATATCCATTTAAAGACTAAGCTGCACCTGATCCAAGCTATGGTATTTTCAGTCACTTCCTTGACATCTGAAAGTTATCCAGTGAATAAAGAGGCCTGAAGAATTGATGCCTTTGAAGAGTAGTAAATATCCCATGGACTGTCAAAACGCAAACAAATCTGTCTTGAAGGGAATTCAACCAGAGGGTTATTTAAAGGCAGGGATGGGGAAACTCAATCTCACTCACTTTAGACATCTTCTAAGGAGGAACAAGTCGTTGGAGAGAGACACTATGCTGGGAAATATGGAACATCAGAGAAAGAGGAGATGGCCCTCAACAGGCTGGAGTGTCACATGGTGACTACCACAGTGGGCGCGAGGGCAAAGTTCAGATCATAGGCTGCCATCGACTCGCCAGCACCCAACAACGACAGCGTACTTCTAATCTAGAAGAAATGGACACACTTGGAGAAATACACTGCTGACCTAAACTATCAGGCCAATAGAAAATGTGTACACATAGATCACAAAAGAAGAAACTGAGCAGGTTATAAAAACAACCAATATAAGTTCTAGCCCAGACAGCTTCATTGATGAATTCTACTAAACATTTAGAGTTTCCACCACTTCTAGTCAAACTCTTTCAGAATACAGAAAGCGTGGGAATACTCCCAGACTCACTCTATGAAGCAAGCATAACCCAATACCAAAGTCAAGCAAAGATAACACCAAAAAAAAAGAGAGAGAGAAATTATGAGCACGTTGTTGTCAGGTGTCGTCGATAAGACTATGACCCATCATTATCCCATTAACCAAAGATTGAAACCTATCCCGATATCCCCTGTCATCCTTGCAATCAGGAAAAGTGTACACTAGAGATGCAGCCTATCTCTGTACATTTTCAATCTATATATGAAACAGATCATTCAGGAGGTTGGACTCTATGAGAAGGAATGTAGCACCAGGATTGGAGGAAGACTTATCAACAACCTATGTTATACAGATGACACAACCTTGCTTACAGAAACTGAGGAGGACCTGAGGCACTTGCTGCAGAAAGTCAAAGGACTGTAGCCTTCAACAGACATTGAAGATCACCATCAAGAAAGATTCTCGCTACTGGGACAATTAAAAGCAGCATTATGATGGATGGTGAAGAGATTGAAATTGTTAACAGCTTTAGTTTGCTTGGCTCCACAGTCAACACTCTTGGTACCAGCAGCCAGGAA